TGGATGGCCCAAGGTGATATTAAAGGCTGACATGGCTCCCAGAAAACACTGATCACTTCACTTTCAATATGTGTTTTTCACGGTATGCATGATAGAGTTCAACTTCTGATATGCCACCTTCAAGGATTAGGTCTTGTTCCCGTTCCCATTGTTGGACTTTCAACAAAGTCAACTACAATTTCTCATAGAAATAGGGACGCATAATGCTTGTTTCCAATTCTTGAGGAAATTTGATAATTATTGAGTAAGAAAATATTAAATAGCCACAGAATTCATAAGATAACTGTTATAAAGAAATGGAGAACTGGCCATGTTTTCTCTCTTCTTGATATTGGGGGATATCTTGGGGGAGAAAAAAGAAAACAAAATGTTTATATTAATTCATTTCTTTAGCACATGCAGTTATATCTTCCAGTCAAGATAAAGTCCTAAATACCAAAGCCGTTTTCTCTCTTTAAATCTCAGACTTGTGTTCACATACAAGTCAAAAAAGTATATTTTTAAGAACAGAGTATGTTTTCTCTGAGACTCTTCTGATATGGTCCTACATATGTCACATGCAACTATTTATATTTTTTGTGTGTACCAGTCAGAGGCCTTGAACTCAGGGCCTGGATGCTGTCCCTCAGCTTCTTTGCTTAACTTGTGCTCTACTACTTGAGCCACAGCTTCACTTCCAGCTTTTTGGTGGTTAATTGGAGATAAGAGTCTCACGGACTTTCCTGCCTGTGCTAGATTTGAACCATGATCCTCAGATCTCAGCCTCCTATGTAGCTAGGAATAGAGGTATGAAGCACTAGAACCCAGCTTAAACTTATATTTCCTAAAAACAAAATATTCTTTAGACATGCAAAACACTTCAATTGCTCAGCAGCCACATAACTAGTAACCATATTACCATCATTGCAGAACATTCCATTCAAAAGATTAGCTCTAACCCAGAAACACAACAAATCAAAGAAAGGTTGGACAAATGGGATTGCATAAAATAGCAGAGCTTCTGCATGGCAAAGGACATAGCTAGCAAGATCAATAGAAAGCCCGCAGATTGGGAGAAGATCTTCACTAGCCATACAATAGACAAGGGTCTCATATCTAAAATATACTTAGAACTCAAAAAATTAAATCCCCCAACAACAAATCCTCAAATAAACAACTGCCCAATAAATAAGTGGGCTAAAGACTTAAAGAGAAACTTCTCCAAAGAGGAAATAAGAATGGCCAATAGACACATGAAGAAATGCTCAACCTCCCTAGTCATAAAAGAAATGCAAATCAAAACAATATTGAGATACCACCTCACTGCAGTTAGAATGGCTATAATCAAGAACTCTAATAACAACAGATGCTGGAGGTGATGTGGACAGAAGGGAACCTTACTGCATTGTTGTTGGGAGTGTAAACTTGTTCAACCACTTTGGAAAGTAGTATGGAGGTTTCTCAAAAGACTCCACATAGAGCTCCCCTATGACCCAGCAATCCCACTTTTGGGCATTTACCCAAATGATCACAAACAAGACCATACTAAAGCTACCAGCACAACTATGTTTATTGCAGCATTCTTTACAATAGTTAAGATATGGAACCAACCCAGATGCTCATCAGTAGATGAATAGATCAAGAAAATGTGATACATATTTATATACACAATGGAATTCTATGCCTCCATCAGAAAGAATGACACCAGCCCATTTGTTAGGAAATGGAAAGACTTGGAAAAAATTATATTAAGTGAAGTAAGCCAGACTCAAAGAAATATAGGTCCCATTTTTCCCTTATTTGCAATAACTAGTATACATCTAGACAAGCAAAAATGGTCAAAAGCTTTGTCCTCCCTTTTGTAAAGCAAAAACAGAAGCAATGAGAGGGTAGGGGAAAGATCAGGACAGTAGGAAATAATGGAATGCCCCACGCCCATCCTTCTCACCACAGCCCTGCCAGCTCCTAACTCTGTCCACAACCTCAGTCTGAAATATAGTTCTGGGCCGTTTCTCTTCTATGTGTGCACACCCAGTGCAGACTTTCTTCTGCTGTAAAAAGTTTGGGAAGGAGGTACCTAGGAAGGGAGCGCCTGGCTTGATCCTCACAAACCTCTGCCCTTGAGGTACTGAAGCAGAAACTACTACCCCTGCATAGAGTCTTCAGGGATTCCTGGAAGGTTTAGGCTCTCCTCTAGGATTGACGTGGAGAATCCCTGACTCAGAGCTAGTATCCCAAGGGTCTCCTGCAGGCTATACCTACTCCCCATTTAGTGGCACTAAATCATTCTTCCCGAAGGTCATGCCTTATGCCCAGAGGCTATAAGGACTTTACCTGGAGCTCACTTGTCTTTGTTCTACTTCTTGATTATACTGATTATCTTCCTTGTTTCACTAGCTCAAATACATTACCACCAACTCCTGTCTGAGTATGACTTGGGAGGTTGGGGGTTCAGCCAAAGAGGCAAAGGCCATCCGTTAGATATTTTACTGTGCATTTGTCATGCTTATTGGTCTTAGCCATGCATTAATATCCAAGTTGTGGCCTTAGTATGGCACCTCTCAAATCCTCTATCTATTTTCTTATCTCCAACCTAGTAATAATATTCACAACTTTCCTGTGAAAGTTAAATATCCATAGAGGATACTATGAATGCAATTACTTGTTAATAATTATCAACCATTTATGAATACTAAAGGATGATCACTCTATCTACAACTGAACTTAACACTTATTTCATATAGCAAAACCTTGCTCTGTTGCCAGCATTCCCCCCTGGACTCTGCCTGTCCTTATAAGTGCAATATTTTTGCAGAGCAATCTCAGCCTCACACACTCCTGGACTTGACTTCTGAGGTACCCTAGACTTAACTTCATCTTCCAGGAATAAGACTCAGCCCTCCCACATAATCTGATATCCTGGGATGCTGGGATAAAGTAGAGTTCCTATAGCATTCCTTTAAAATGGTAGCCTAAACTAACTATGCAGAGCCATGCCAACAGGATACAGCTTGTAAGGAAATCACTCCACCAAAACCTAAGTGGCAAAAATCAATGAGACATAAGAGAATAAAAGACATAGATAACTCACTCCCACAGAGGGTTATATCCCTCACCATGGCCTTGAGCACTCCTATATACAAACTGCTAGATATCACAGCCCCCACAGCGTTGGGAAGTCATACATTTGGACCTTTAGCCATCACATCATAGCCCATTGACCCAGAAGACCCGCATAAGGAACAGTGGATTTATTGGACCCCCAAGGTGTAAGTCAGAGTTGGCACCTAGTCAGAGGAGCTAAACAATGCATGGAGAGCTTGTGCTGGCTGCATGGGGGTGGAGATTGAAATGGCTCACAGGCTATCCAATGAACGAGGTGCCTTGTAGATTTCTCCTAGAGACACCTTGTAAACCCCAGAGAGTACCTTCGCTTGGGACTACTCCTGTCCTGCAGGAGTTCTGCTATTTTTCTCCAATAAATCTTTACCATTTTACTTCTCCCTCTGTGTCCACATATACATATGAGTGTGTGCAAATAAAGATGAAGCTATTTAATTTCTGACTAAAATACTTAAAGAAACAAAGAGGTCACAAGATAAAAGTAAAACACTACACTTGAGTAAAACACTACACTTGAGGAAAACAGGATTTCAGGGCTTGTCCGATCCACTTGGATTGTCAGCATTAATAGTAAGGAAATTTAGCTACATTTGTAGCTCCTCAGGAGTTTGAAATTTAAAGGATCATAGTTCATAGCCAACCCAGGCAGAAAAGCCCATGAGATTGCACCTCCAAAATAATGAGGAAAACGAAAGTGTGGAAAAGTTGCTCAAGCACCAGCTGATCAAGAAAGCAGAGGAGCACAGGGCCCTGAGTTCAAAACTAAGTATCAATGAATAAATAATAGGAAATGAATCTTACTATTAATCTTGCCTATAAGTTTGTATAAAACAAGGGAAGAGTGGGAAAAATACAGTCCACTATTTCCACCCTTTCTCTGTTCATCTTACACATTTTTCTCCTATGGATTAGCTTCTGAGATGGGTTTTTCAGGGAACAACATAAGCATATATCTTACCTTGACATCCTGTGTGTCCCCATCGCATAGCCCAGACTTCCCTTGATTAGCTAATAAACAAGAAATTCAATTTTATGTGCTGGTCCTGGGGCTTGAATTCAGGGCCTGTGTACTGTCCCTGAGCTTTGTTTGCTCAAGGTTAGTACTCTACCTCTTAAGACACAGCTCTACTTCTGGCTGTTTTGGTGGCTAATTGAAGGGAAGAGTCTCACAGACTTTCCTGCCTGGGTTGGCTTCAAACCGTGAACTTCAGATCTCAGTGTCCTGAGTAGCTAGGATTACAAGTATAAGCCACCAGCAGCCAGCTGAAATTCACATTTTTATTGAAAACATACACAAATACGTGAAGGTTTTGCAACACATAAAGAAAATATGAGGATGTCTGCCTAGGTTGGCTTCAAACCAGCATCCTGAGTAGCTAGGAATATAGGCATGAGCTAACAGCAGCTGAAGTTCACATTTTTATTGAAAACATATGTAACACAAATATGCAAAAGCGGTTTCACAATACATAAAGAAAATCAGAGGATATATTTTATTCAATGTGTCCAATGAAAAAAATGGCTGGGAGAATAGAGAGGTAAAAAGAAGTCAAGAATACACAAACTGGCTTGGTTAAAGAAATAACCATCTAATACACAAAGCTATCTCACTTGGAATCTACACATTAGAATATTATTTCCAACACTGGGAGAACTCAGTCAGAAGCTAGACTATACCTGCAATGATGAAGGATTCCTACCTTGATGTACCATTGTTGTTCACCTCCTATGATCAATAAATCACCAAATACCCAATAACTAGGGATAAAAAGTCAGATTCATAGACTTCTCATATGCAAATGAACTGGAGGGCCCCTTTGCATCTCTCTGAAGTCATCAGGAGACAAGTGGGTCATGATGTCAGGTTACTGAAGGAAAGAAGAAAACACTGAAGGGCGATGCTCGCTTCGGCAGCACATATACTAAAATTAGAACAATACACAGTGATTAGCATGGCCCCTGTACAAGAATGACGGGCAAATTTGTAAAGTATTCCATATTAAAAAAAAAAAAAAGACTGAGTGGTCAGCCAAGTCAGCAGTGCAAGTGCAGAGACACACTACTGCTCTGCTTCTCCTCACTCATCTTTTGCATTCTTTCTCAGAAATAGTCCTAAGACTCGCTCACGAATCTGCTTAGTTTTGGCACCATAAATGATGGGATTGACCATGGGAGGGAACAGCAGGTAGAAATTAGCAAGCAATATGTGCACGTGCGGGGCAGCCGTGCGAGCAACACGGTGCATGACCGAGGAGATGACTACGGGTGTGTAGAAGGATAAAATGGCCCCAATGTGAGACACACAGGTCCCAAAGGCCTTGTAGCGGGCTTCCTGAGAAGCCAGCTGTAGAACAGCACGAAGGATGAAGATGTAAGACAAGATCACAAACAGCAGATCCAACACCACAATGAACATGGCCACAGCAATGCCATAGATATTGTTGAAGCGCGTGTCCCCACAGGCCAGCCTTACCACTGCCATGTGTTCACAGTAGCAGTGGGCAATCGCTGAGCCTCGACAGTAGTGGAAGCGTCTGAGCAGAAAAGGGAGTGGAGTCATGAGTGTCACAGCTCGAGTCATGGCGGCCAGGCCGATCTTGATGACAAGGGACTTGGTCAGGATCGTGGTGTAGTGGAGTGGCTTGCAGATGGCCACATAGCGGTCAAAGGCCATGGCCAGCAGCATTGCTGACTCCATGATAGAAAAGGAATGGAGAAGGAACATCTGGATGAGACAGGCATAGAAGTTGATTTCCCGGTCTCTGAACCAAAAAATAGCAAGCATTTTGGGCAGTGTGGTAGAAGAGAGAACTAAATCAATGGCTGCCAACATGGCCAGGAAGAGGTAAATGGGCTCATGGAGGGCAGCATCAGCCTGAATGATGAAAAGGAGAGTGCAGTTACCAATCAGGGCCACTGAATAGGCTGAGCAGAAAGGGATAGAGATCCAAATGTGTAGGTGTTCCAGGCCTGGGATCCCCATCAAAAAGAAGGACACTGGATGTATTAAGGTGGTATTATAGGCCCACATGGTCACCAAGAATTCTTTCCTCTTTATCTGCTTCCACAGAGGTCTTCTAAGAGAATCCAATATTAGCATTCAAGTTGAAATGCTGATCATATGTGTAGAATTTGTCCTTCTTCCTATTTGTGTACACCTTAAAAGAAATAGGAAAATAATCAAATTCACCATGAAATGTTATGCGGGGTCCTTACTACCAGGATGCTTTATAGAATTACTTATTGGTTAAGACATTAACTATCAATAGAGCTAGCATCAAAAGCATCCTTAGTATCACAAGTTCAAGACCAGTCTAGGTTTCAGAGCAAGACCTTGTCTCAAACAAGCAAACAAAAAGCCTTATTGAGATATCAAGGGGTGAAAGAACTTTCTGTGGTACATGTGGACAAAGACATCTTTATAAAAGATGTAGCATTCCTTCTTAAACTTTATATAAAAACACTCTGGATCTTTGTTTTCCTAGTGATTCAAACTACACTTATTACAAACTCATTTCATTCTCAAACATTAAGCCTAGTGATCTGAAAAATAATTAAGTCTAGCATCTCCTAGTATTTCTCTGAGTTGTATAGATATTTTTATACTGAGGGTCCCATTGGTTTAATTGACATGGAAACACTCTCCAACTAAAGCCCTACTTCCATCTAAATCGAGGACATGGGAAATCCTTTTGTTCTCCCTTACCTGGCTATAGTTCAACTTCCATCTTTATTTTCTTCTCCCTTTACCCACTTTCCTTCCTAGCTTTCATGATGCTCAAAGACATAGACCATTCCATCAAGGCTAACTTCTGATTTTGACAGTATTCCTTGTCCAACTGGGATCTTCATATTTCTATTTCCCTTTGCAACCCTTCTATCAGTTTCCTGTGAAATGCATAAACACTGATTTTCAATTTTTTTGTTTTCATTTATTTTTATTTTTGTATATATTTTTATTGTAAAAATACTGTACAGAGGGGTTACAGTTGCATAAGGTAATGAGTACATTTCCTATCGAGCATTGTTAACTCCTCCTTTGTTTTTCCCCTACCATCCCTTCTCTCCCCACCTCCCTAACTCCTCTCTCCCCACCCCCGAAGTTGTAAACTTCATTTTCAACATAGTGTCTTGTACATCTCATTGTTATAATGGGCCAACCTATATTCTTATTTCAGCATTTTGTTATTTCCCTATGACCATATAAGATGATGCTAAGTGAAATGAACCCCAAAATAGAGACACAAGTAGTTTTATCTTTCTTGTTGTTGTTTTTAATGTATTTGTAATGTACCATGTGATTTTCTTTTGTATGTTCTTCCCCCCATGGTATAATCCCTGTTTTCACTGTATTTGATTCCAAAAATTTTTCAACTGTACCCCATTTCATTTTGTCAAGCTCATGCCTTAATTTTTTTGAAAATTTTGAGATAATCTTGTAAAACACATGGTATACATGTGAAACAGAAAATGCTCCATAAATGTGGGTGATTTTTTTTTAATTTAAAAAAAACTAAAAGTTTACACTGACGGTCATGTGGTTGGAAAATGTCAAAGTTTAAGCTTGAATTTTGAGAACCCTGATTTCCTGCCGTCAAATCTCACATCCTAAATTATTATACTTTTCTGCTTCCCCCAACTTGCAGATCAAATCCACAGTAGACATATAGAAATGCAACACAAACTCATTACAAAGGCACAGGTTTAGAATCTGAATAAATATGTTTGCCCAGCAGTGTACCAACAGAAAACAACATTTATCACAGATTTTCCTAAGATTTCCACTTTCTCACCTAACCTTTCTCTAATGACTGCGTTTCAGTGTGAGGAAAGATAAAATTATAGATGACCGTAGCCCTTGTAAACAAGATAAAACATTACTTGTCATTATAATCTTCTTCCATACATTTCTGTCCTCTTTTATAAAATGTTTATCATGATTAACTTAAGTGTGATGCTGCCTTCCTTGACCTTATATCTTCCCGCATGGAATTCCCCTAAACCTTGTTCCCCTTCATAGCAAAACTTCTTTACCATGTTGACCGCTAGGTTATAATTAGGTAGAAAAGATTCTACAGGATGGCATAGATAATGACACTGTATATTTCATAAAGCTAAAAGAAAGAATTGAAGTATATTATAAATATAAATTATAAATATTTGATGAGACAGGTATGTTTAATCTAATCTGAACATGACACAATGTATACATGCATTGAAGCACCACATGGTACCCCCATAAATATGTGCAACTTTTATGTATCAATTTAAAAAATAAATTTTAAAATTAATTTATTCTGCACTTCATTACTTCATTACTTTCCATGCCTTCCAATCTTCCACCTCCACCACTCCCCTTATTCTGATTTCTTGTCATTGCTTCTTTCTCCTTCCCTCTCTTCTTTTCTCTTCTTCCTCCTTTTCTTTCCCTCCTTCTCTTTCCTTCCCTTCTTTGATTCACATTTCTCTCCTTCATCTCTTAGAAAATTTGTCATCTATGTTAAGAGAATTCTTTGCTCTGAATTTTACTGTCTTTGGATATCTCTGGATGTTATATGACATCTTATTTTTTAAAAGACCCCAAAAAAAACTCTTACTGTCTCCCTACCAACGACTTCCTCTCCTTTCTGACTCAGTTCCATGAATTTTGCTATCGGCCCATCAATCCCTTCCTTCTTCCTTGTTATCTAATTCGTTAGTAAATATGGCCATTTATAAAATATATTTCTGTCTCTACTTTTCCTGAAGCACACTTGATTATTGTGTTTGCTTTGGAGAGGTGGGCACTCTTAAATTATCATCATCTTGTCATGTGAAGAACAAAAACTTCCTTACTGGTGGTATGACTCTCATGCCCTCTATCTAGCTGAGACCAGCATAAGTACCCCTGCCTGACCTGTTTACCTTCATCAGTCAGCTTTGTATTCCTTGTTTTCTTCTACCACCACAGCTCATTGTACTCTCACTCCGTTGGTAAGGGACTCAATTCTCTTCCCACAGGTTGCAGGAAGAACTGGTGTTGTCCTTTCCTAGGGAGAGAAGAAGGAAATGATGGGGTTGGCAGGAGAGGTCTGGCTATATCTTTAGTCAGCTACTCTTTTCCCAAAAGGAAAGGAAACAGCGGGCCTCTAAGGAACATCCTGACAGGGCCTCACAAGGGGCCTGATCTCTTCACTGGGGATGACTCAGGGGGCCTTGTGTGACCCACTGTCTAATCTTCAGGATGGCACCAGTGATCTCAACCACACAGTAATAGCTGTAGGTAGGACTGTGGTCTCAAGATGGCCTACACAAAAAGCCTATGAGCCTACCTGAAATATTAAAGCAAGAAAGGGCTAGAAGAGTAGCTCAAGTGGTAAAGTGCCTGTGTACAAACCTCAAGGCCCTGAATTCAAATATAGTACTGTCAAAAAAGAGAAAATAGTAGATCTTTTAACGTATAAATTGCAATATAAATACATTATATTTTCCACAATGTTTTCATGATGGCTCCAAGTCCTCTCCAGTGTTTTACTATTTTATAATTACCATTCTAACTCCAAAGTGCATTTCAACATCCATTTCGGTTATTGGCTGACAGGGACATATTTCCTAATAGTATAGATGCTCCACAAGAAAAAGGACTTTGTCTTCTTTGTTTACAACCACATTCCCAGTAATTAGAGACATTCACCCTGATAGGTGCTCAGTAAATGCTATTGGTAATATAGCATTTATTTAGAATAAATTTTACACAGTTATTTAGAATAAATGCTATTGGTAAAATTAAATCTGCCCAGTGGTATTCCAAGCTAACACTAAATATTACTCTGAGAACTGAAGACAGCTTTTTTTTTTTTTTTTCTGATCCTGGGTCTTGAATTCAGGGCCTGGGAGCTGAGTACTCAAGGCTAGCACTCTACTGCTTGAGCCACAATGCCAGTTCCAAGTTTTTCTGAGTAGTTTATCGGAGATAAGAGTCTCACGGGCTTTCCTGCCCCAGCAGGCTTCAAACAATAATGCTC